AACTTCGAAGTGTCAGAGATTCAAAGGGAGCCTTGACCTTGACTGGAACTCTACCCTTAGCCTCTAACCTATCAATATTCATTAGTCTTTTTAGGTTTAGTGTTTAATAACAACAAAAAGTTTTCAATTTAAATGACTTTACCATATATGACCCCACATTAGTATAATTTTCATAATTTTTAATTATTATTGGTTGTTATTTATTCAAATAATTTACTTATATATTTCATGTATAATTGTATGTATAGAGTATTACATCTAATGACTTTCTCTATTCCTTTTTGAAAATGTATAACCATTGGGCCTACTGAGTTCTCAAAAGAACTCGGGCTCAAACCTCGTACCAATGCATCTGGAAGTCTGAAGTTCACTGTTGTTCGCTCCTGCTGAATGATGAGCCTACCTCTTCAGGCTCAAACCAGAGTCATTCCTTACCCCTTTATTGCTTTATTGTATCATGTTACTTATATTCTCTCACATGTATATGACATTGCCCTCATCATATTTGATTTAATGTTTTACTTTACCCTTTGATTACAGAAACAACTTATAAAAGACATAGGGTTAAAAGAAGCATTAGGCTTAATAGTAATTAGTTTTAATTCATTGATTGCCTCATAGTATTAATCTGTCTATTAACATAGATTTTTTGAAGCCAAAATATCTTAGCAAAGGATGATAGTCCCTCTTTCAAAAGAAAACCAAAAAGGAATTTCAAGATTGGTCTTCTAAAAGAAAATCGACTCTTTCAAAAATCAAAGTACTGCCGCCCAGTGAAAGATTTTCAAATGGTTTCCTCAAGTGTAAGAATTAGGATATCGAAATCCAAGGTACATCTTTGGCTCACATTCTTACAACATTTTTATATTATTAGAGTTACATGAACATCCACATTCTTTAAAAACAAAGTTTTCTATAACTTAGCCCTTTTTACATGTTTCACAAGTATAAGCCGCTCATGTACATATCTTTAAAACCGTTTCAATTATACACACCAACATTATTTTCCAAGACTCCTTTATAAACTCATACCCTTTTTAAATCGCACATTCCCTTTATAGATATCATATTCTCATTTAGATATATTAAGTCGTACCCTTTAACACTAATTAAGCATAATGAAAATAACTAATCCTATAAACCTAGTCAAAATCCTATGGAGCTATCTTAGGTAGATTATAAGGGGTGCCTAATACCTTCCCCTTAGAAGAATAAGAACCATTACCCAAAATCTCACCGGTTAGCATACTAACAGAAAAATGACTTTAGTAATTAAATAGGTACCCTGGTATACTTTTAAATATTAGGTGGTGACTCTCTTTTATCAGGAACAGAGAAATCACAAGTTGAATCTTGTTTCGACTCGTACAAAATAGGGTACAACATCAATACCTGTGAACACCGACGAATTCAAATAAAGAAACATGTTCACTCTGGAACTAGCAGAATCCCCTCGTTGGCTGGAAGAAGTGGGTGCAATATTCATTCTCTGGTCATGGGAAGCCACTATCTGAGCCAACATCTATATGGATCCCCTAAGGTCCCCATCAGAAGCAGTAGGATCAGAAGTTGAGGCTGGGGGTGGAACCAGAGTATCAATTGGAGGAGAAATCATTGTATTTTCATTATAAGAAGGAATTGGTGCATTCCTAGTAGGAATAGTATAATCAGAAGGCATTATGATTGGGGAACATCCTCACCCCACGGGTTCTCACTCATCGTATCAGGTAAATTATTGACTTCCACTCTTTGGGTGGCATCAGATCTTTGGATACTTCTTGCCTTCTTCTTAGGCACCATGTACTAAAAATTAGAACAATGCACGAGTTAAAGGAGGAACTGTCTTATAATCAAGCTCGATCGCACAATCTAGAGTATCAAAGAAGGGTGACATTCGTAAATGCCCAAGTCGACTCCTAATTATAGATGTGGTCTAAAAAAACCAATAAGAATGACTCTTGATGCATTCTACCCGACCTTAACCATGAATAAAGTGAATATGTATACCATTAGGTAGACAATAAGAGGATGATATGTACAACACCAATTCATTACCATTAGTAACTTCATTTGCGATTTTCAAAGTTTTACAAGTTCGTAGTTTGAAATTGGATACATGATTAACAATTATATCATTTCTAGTTAGACTTCCCCAAATCAAAATACAACCCACACTATGTCTACAGAGTCTCTAATTGATACAAGAGAGTAATATGATAGTGCCGGTGACAAGTCCCCCGACTATACCTCAAAACACTCTGCACAAGAAGCAAAAGACACAAGACCCCGATATGAAGTAGGGCTCGCCAAGTTAGCCAAGAAGAGGGTGTACAAGTATCACTGGTTGATGCCGCCTGCTATGGAACCACATGCATCCATTAAAGATGCAACGTCCCCGGCAAAATAAATGTTAGTATATATGAAATAGTAATAGTATGTTAAGATAAACACCCTCTCAACAAATCGAGTGACAACACAAAAGGAAAGAAACATGAATAAATGAGAAACCAGGTAATATTGAAATACCAAATCAAGATTAAGGTAAATCTTCAAGTAAAAATCGATGTTTTAGGTTGGGAGATCTTTAGTACTGATTCACCACCGTGCTTATAGAACAAAGTCTAATATTTGCCTAATTGGCTAAGCCGTCTCACCCTAAAGTATGAGACTCGACATCAAAACACAACACCACCTTGTGCGTGACATAACGTCTGATCTCTGCCTGATCGGCTAAGCCGTCTCAGCACAATGTCGTGTGGATCGACATCATCTTTTGCTAGAAATTACCTCATCCCAATTACGAGGAATAATCTCAACACATCAATCTCGTCCCAATTAAGGGGAATAATCTCAACACATCAGCATGGGAATTTACCCATCAATCACTCCTACACCGGCACATGTAGTTTCGGGTTTTGGTTATTTCAACCTACCCTTCCTCGGTGACTAAACGATACTCCAAAAAGACATTTATTATATAAAGGAATTACAACTCATTTCATAATCTTTCAAATTTCCTTTCATTTCTTTGGCACTATTAGCCACAAGTGTAATTTTCATTCTTAGCACGATGACCACATTTAACAATCATACTTTCATTCATTCATTTCCTTTCAAGGATCATTTTAAAATATTTAAGGATATTTGAAACATTGAGAAAAATTATATCTTCAGCTCATAAACATGTAAGAATTCAAAACACATTGAGTATAAGCATAAAAGAAGATCATAGCGATTTCAATGGAATCATAGATTGAGATTATAAGAAGTTGATAAATCAATCGTACTTGAAATATTTTAAAATAGAGAACATGGAATGATGAAGCAGTTAAAACATGAATTGGGTAGATAATCATTTGGTACATAAATCATTTGTGGCATTCGATACAATAAGAATAGGAACTCGGACAAATCAAACTTGGAACTTTATACGAAGATCATGGAATCCGATTATACGGAAGAAAGTTAGCCAACATACCTTAAATTCTCCCCTTAATGATATTATAATGATCCACTACACTAAAAAACTTCAATATATTATAACAACATCCAATGAGACCAATATTAGTAACACATTTCACAATTGAGGCCATTTAGGCACTTTATCAAACACCTAGTAGGTATAAATCTTTACATTTTTTATTCATAGAACTAGTTCATCCAACTACCACCATTTACTAACAATTTATACCATTATCATTCTTAAGCAATTTATAACTCCAGCATCACATGCATATCCAACCATCCACCCCCAACCAATAAAATTCAATCAAATAATTACTTTTTCAATCTCTACAATGGTTATAAATTTAAATTGAGAACTTATGGCTTCCAATAACCATCCCATAAGTTCCAATGCTTAATTCTTACTCATTTCCCATAATAAATCTGTGCATGTAAGTCTAAGGGTGTATGATTACCTTTTGGAAGAAATCTTGTAAAACCCTCCTTTGTGTTCTTGAAGAAATTTTCTTGAAAATCTAATGATTCCATGGTGGATTGAGCTAGTTCTTGTGTGGAAATGATAGGGTTAACACCAAGACAGTGCAGATTTCTAACCTTGAAGATGAGAGGAGTTGGGGTTCTTGAGAGAGTGGAGTAAAGCTCCAAAATTCTTCCAAGTGAAATGGGGAAAATGTTCTCCCGAAATGACTTAAAAGAAACCTTAAGCTGGGGCACGCCTAGTCTTGCGAAGTGAGCCTCACTTTGATGTCCACTCCATATAAGGGAAGATAAGATCCATGCCTGGTCTGGCGAAGCGAGCCTTGCTTTACTGTCCACCAAGGTAACTGGGTGGTTTAACTTTAGTAATTTGAACATAACTTTTAGTAGGAATGTCCAAATGATGAATGACTTGATGAGTTTGAAACGAGACTCGAAGAGTTACGCTTTAGGGGAAAAATTCATGGAAAGTATCTTTATATTATGAGAGTTATACCCATTCAAAGTCAGGTGTAGTGCAAATTTAGACATCTTTTTCACTTAATACATCCAACTCGTTCAAAGCAATTTCTTCCCACTTACAAACCTCCTTAATATGTTCCGAAACACTTTTTCTTTATAAAATATACTACTAGGTTGTGTGCCTAGAATATATATATATCACTACAAGAAAATAGGCATACGACGACATTTTTTAAATGTCATTTTGAGTCATATAAATGTCACAAAATTATTAACGACATTTATTTGACATTTATAGCAAACATCGTAAATTTCGTTGTCGGGAATTTTCCGACATTTACATTAATGTTGGCAAATAAATAGTGACATTTATATACTGACTTTTTATCAAATGTCACCAGCTTGAGTACAAAATCAATATAGTTTCAACATACAAAGAAATGTCGGCAATCTTACTCATCCTTTCTACATATACATGCAAAATGTCGGTAAATCTTCTTTTGTCAATAGCTTTTTTTCTTTTTATACTTGAAGGAAGTTAATAATTCTTATCTACTAATAACACAATCATTCATACAATTTTGATACTACAATGCCATACCCAACAAAAGAATTTTGAATTAAAACAAAAGAGATACGTACACATTATTTTTGAAAATCTTACAATACCACTCAGTAGTGGTTCTCAAAAATATAAAGTTTTTCCCCAGTACATATTCAGAACAAGCTATGCTAACTATAAATAAACTCCAATGTTGAGTACAAAAAATATTAATTCACAACAGTTCTTTGCACAAGAGTTTCTCTTTTGACTCCAATTTTTGCATATCAACCTGACATAAAACCAAACAATAAAAGCAATAATTAGAAGTTAAAAATTCAAGGTAACAAAAACCAGTTAGCAAACCACTTCTATAGAGTTATATGGCATATGATATCACATGCAAAGTTAGAATCCGTGCAGCTTAAAAACCTTTCATCATACAAACAAAAATGAATAATAGACTTACTTATCACAAAGAAAAATAAAACAATAAGAAACTTCAAGTCTTCGAATACGAGCCACAATGTAAATATGTACCATAAAGTAAGAAAATGCAAAATGTGCTTGAACACATCTACATCTGTTTAGTTAACATACAGAATGCGAAGTTCTCTCTATCCTTTTCCTCTCCCTAATCCCTTCTAACTAAGCATGACATTTCAATTTTAGGATTAAATGATGTTTGTATAATCATTTGGATATACTGATACCCTTTTCGCAAGGAAACCACAAGAATTTTCTTTATCTCAAAGATATTGTGAAGAGTATAACCTTTGACGAGCTGGCAGACCTTGAGTATGCTCCTAACACAACTCATTTTCAATACTTGCATGGTAATCTTGTTAGTATTGCATTTTAGGTCTAATCAACCAAGCAAACGTCTAGAGGTATTGATAGGTAATACAAACTAGATATTTACTTATCTCAATTTAAGGAGATGATCCTCTTGAGTGACCTACGGATGAGAACCACAATCAACTAGAATTCAGAGGCCATATTTGGTTAATGACCATGCTATAGAGGTCATTTTTCTCCTAGAAATACATAGTACTATCCATATTCTTACTCATGAAAAGCAGAATGTCATCTCCTGTGAGGAATCTAACATTATAAATCGATGAGGTTAGTTATTTGGTGCTACAGTTTCAAGTTTTTCTTCCTCTGGTGAACTAATCTCGAGTATTTATGTGTCAAGGAAACATAATCTTGCTTATTTTTCTACTAAAGTTTTGGCATTATAGGTGTAAATAAGTTATTCTATCATACTAAAAGATTATTCTATCGGACTTAAATGTAATCTTACCCAACTAAATGCAAAAGCGTGATATTTCCTATAAGGCATAGTTCAGTTTCTGACTTATCCAAGCTAGATTTCTGTAATTTGGACCTGCAGGTACCTTTCTACACTCATCCTACCACTATTAGCACCTATAAACCTAATCAACTAATTAAATAATTTACATGGACTAAGAAGGAGCGTAACAAGGATGAACTATAACAACATGACAGTAAAACAATCATATTAAAGATGTAAGAATAGACAAAATACAATAAAAGAAAGAATCAACCAAATAAAATAAAAACTGCGAATACACAATGACATTAAAAGGAAAAAGGCGGAGATACTAAAGATACTAAAGCTTTATCCCCAAAATGATTCAATTTCATCACTCCACAATAGCCATGTATCTTCAACATAAATAGAGAACTGTTAAATTCATAAATAACTCTATCTACCACTTCCCAAGCACAACAAACTTCGGTACATCAAACTAAACGAAAGGTCAACCATTTTAAAGGCAGAAAATACAATCCAGTGGACATAATAGAATGAAAATCACAAAAAGAAAATACTTAACACACCTTAATAACCTCGATCAAAAGTCTGAGAAGTATCAGTAGTATCTGTCATGTTTAGAGTTTAGAACAATCTAAGACCAACCTGGTTGCTTCCCCTTTCAATTTTCGGCGCCACACTGAGATTTGCTTATCGCTAATCGAGTGCAACTTTGAACTTCGAGAATGTGATTTGCAATCGATCAATTTGTGAATTTGAGATGACGACATCAATTATTTGGGTATGAGGAAAGGGGAAGATCGGAGGCATGGTTTTAAGAGGAAAGATTGGGGTTAGGGTTTTTAATAAACATAGTTGACCATGCCTATATATTTTTAGCTTAATAAGTATAAATGTAAGTTTCCTTCATTAGATATAAATGTCAGTAAATAACGACTCATATAGCTACATTTCATTTAAAAGTCGCAATTACTGTGTCATTTTTAATCAAATGTCATTGAATTTACCGCATTTTTTATGAAGTGGCACAAAATGATTCTTTTTCCGACATTTTTTCCACATGTCACTGATTAAATGTGGCCGTAGATCTCATTTCTTGTAGTGTATTTTTGATTCACCAACTGTTCGTTACTTTTCACCATGTGTTTGGTTGTGTTTACCAACGGGGTCCAAGGTTTAAAGCTTCATTCATGAACTTGAATGATTAACTGAACATAGGGCATTCAAGAAATAAGAAACATTTCCTTCCCATATTAAATAGCTAATCATTTAATATCGGATGCTGAAGTAAAATGCAAGCTTCAAATCTTGAAAATGTTACATCAAGAGCATGATTTTTTATTTATTTAAGATAAGTCATACGTAGTTGTGACGAGAATACATGGAATATGTTTCAACATGTGGTATACTAATGGAACATTGATATGTCAAATGTGAATATTTCAAATTGGTTAGGCGTCTAGCTAGGTAATTTAGAATGGAATTAATTGGCTTCACTATTCAGTATTCTCTTTGTATTGAACTTGTGAAATACGAAAGCGTTGTTTCCTTTAGATGTAGTTAAGGTAATAGTCACAGATGGTCCTACTTTCGAGTGGTAAGTATATAATACGTCTACAACATTGAACAGTTTAGAATGAAAGCCAGTTTGTGATCAATACTTATTCTGGAAATGGATGATAGTTCCCACCCCTCCCCCACCCCCACCCACCTTTT